TGAATATAGATGGATGAAATAGAAGTGATTTGAGGCTTAAAAATAGTTTATTAGAGTACGAGAATTTTAGAAAAGAATTTAGAAAGTTAAGTGAGGCATAAATCTTAAATTAGTGTCAATATGAATTTTAAATCTAAGACTTTCTAACTCTTTAAATTAGAGTTATTTATTAATTTCAATATAAAATTAATATATAGTATTGTGAAATAATTATGTAGATTATATTGACAAAGATAGTGGTGAAAAAGGAGTTGTGAAGGGGAACTTGTTATTCAAGACACAAGGTAACCATTATTAATATGTTGTGATGGGTGTGTTTGTGAATGGTTATATATTGTTTTATTGTTTGGAAAAATTATAAATTATTAAAAATAAATATTGTATATACTTATTTGAAATTATTGCCAAGTGGGTTAAAAATTTATTTTTGTTTATCATGAAGAGATATTATTGTTCGGATATATTTCTGTTTGGATATTTGAATGATGCATGACTTGTCAGGGTATTTTAATGTATTTAATGGGAATTTCTATTTGGTTAATTATTACCACATGGTAAGCCCTCATTGGACCCAATGAGTGGCGTGTCGCTGGTCCAACTCACCTTTGGCCGGGTGATTTGGCGTTCGAGCATGGCGAAAGGAGGATATAAGGTGCAGTCATGCAAATTAAATACTTGTTTAGTTTGTTTGAAAATATTATTCGGTTAAATGTTTTACGTGCCCACTTAGCAATCGCATGATTAGTTACAACCACATGCATCATTACATATTAATTTTTTTTGGTTACTAGGACTTTTAAGTCTCATTCCCTGTGGTTAATATTTTTACAGGAGCGAGTCCGGCCGAGAAAGTACTAGAGGTGTAACTATGGTGTATGAAACACAATCTTTTACGTTGCCTCTTATTTTGGATTATACAATGTATCTTGTGCCAACTTAGGACATATCTTTTTTGTGAAGCATGTAAACTTTAATCCTTTCTATTAAAAGTATTTATATGATGAAGAGGATTATGTCTGTCCCTCTTGATTTATGATCTGATTTGAATATCATGCCATGAGGATTATGTCTGTCCCTCATGGTTTTAATTGTCTTTTTGGATATTTCAAGACTTGTGGTATGTCTTGGATATATCATGGTAAGATAATTTTCTACCATGATAATGGTTTTAATAATTTGCGAAAAATCGGTTTGTATTTTTGAGGGTGTTATAAAATCTATTTATATTTTATAAGTTATAAAATTATAATTTATAATATTTTTTAATTAAAGTCATATTATGTTATTTTATTAAGGATAAATTGGTCCACTGACCAAAAAAAAAAATCTTCTGTCTAGAAAATATGGACCAACTTTTTAATAATTTAGGAGTGTAGCCTGTTCATATTGATATATAAAGGATTTATCAGTGATATACAAGGAGTTTATCATTGAACAATTGAAAATTATAAGAATTTTATTATTGATGTACAAATGATAGATGATTGATAAATATAATAAACCGACTATAATACAAAATATAATAAATATTTGACTGTTTACTTAGTTTGATCCTATAATAGAAGATATATTATGAATGTTTTTCTTAAATATATTTTATTTATTCATCTAATATTAATTATATTTAATTTTTATATCACCAATTTATCATTGGTCTAATTAGTTAGATTATAAAAACTGAGAACCACCGACATTTTTGGTTTGATATCTGGTCTAGTTTTTAAAATATTGATTAGAATTTTACTTACCTATAAGAAAGTGATGATGGCTCTTGTAGCTGATTCAAACCCATGCACCAGATCTTTTTTTTTTAAAAAAAAAAACTTGGAGATGATACATTACATACAGAATTTCAGAAGTTAAACATACAGGGCGCTAAATCCCCCAGGCTGGCTTGAAAACTTGTAAAAGGAATCGCCGCCTTGACGAAATTAAATGTAAAATTGTACTCAATTTCAGAAGCTTAATTGAATTAAAGGACATGTCAAAGTGATATATAATAGCGTTTGGTGTCTTCGAATGATTAACAGACACTGCATAAACTCAAAGATTAAACAACAATAAAACGCATTTTAGTTAGACTTGCCCAGTTACAATCTCATTTCTTCGACTTGACATCAAAATCTTTGACTTTTACGTTATTGTGATTTTTTAACATTGGATTCGCCTCCCACGGTCCCATGCACGGACAGCGTATATGCAGAGCTTAAGGAAGATGCCGACACCTACTTTTTCCAATGAAGAATGTTTGGCTCAAAGTCCACAAAATTTTAAAATGTAACTCACATAACCTTTATATTTGACAATATGCTTGGCAAAATGTAACATCTAAATGATTAGTTTTTCAGTCTTTAAACATTCTAAAATTGTTAAATATATACATAATAATTGTTGAATTATGGATCTGCCGTTGACGAGTTTTGGATATCATGTTAGATTAATCAGCATTTAATTAACTATTTGGTTAAATTAGTTTTAACCAAAATAAAAAATTATTAAGGTATATCATACCCTCAGAATTACAATATCTTATTTAATTAAGATATTGTAATTATTAGGCTATATCATATCACAATCATCCTACCATAATGGGTAGGGTTTGTGTGGATATGATTTCGTAACTTGTGCCGCCCATCAACGTTATAAATAGAGGTAGCTGTCTCAAAGGCAAATAATGCACCTTTATGTTGAATACTCTTCTCTATTCACTCTCTTCTCTCTCTTTCTTGTGAGGTGCATCTGCTCTATTTTATTACAATGATTGTCCATTGATTGATGTACATTATTAGCACAATTAACTCTAACTCATTTACACACTCCTGTTCAATTACAGTGACAATTACTATGATTATGTTCTTAATTAACTTCTAGTTAATTAAGTCATATTTAGCTAACATTGAATTCGCTTTTGCCAAACCCCTACATCTAATTAAACCTTAAGCAATTTTTTTCTTAATTTGGTTAGTCATGTTTATTTATCGAAGTCTAGGTTCACTTCACCTTACAGTTCATTGAGTAATCCCACACACAGATCATATGGTGGCAAATCATACAATCTATCAATCAAAACTGATATAGCAAAAGTTTGTCCTAATCAATCCCTATCCCTGGCTGGGACTTGGAAACTGATAGGATAAATCATAGTAGGAAATTCTCAATTCATAAACTAAGAAAGACTGAAAGAAAGGGAGGAGAGGAAACTCAACTCCCAAACTAGCTTGATTGTTCTCCAAAGATATTATGTGCCTTCTAGGATTGGATGATCTTAGATGAGTTCGCAGGGCTTTGCTTATAGGTTTTCACATCCCTTCATCTAATTTTGCTGATGCAACTCTGGTATTTAAGAATTAAAAAATACCTTTTATTCAGTTTTCTGCGTCCACCACTTTTCCTGCGTCAACGTCTGTGGCGACTTACTTCTCATGTTCGTTCGCGGACAAAAGTCTCACACACACACACGCACGCACGCACGCACGCACGCACAGAGCAACAATCTAGCATTTGCTTGAGTTGTTTTCCACCACGTGTTCTGTGTCTGCCACCGAACACTGTCCAATGGTCATAAGGTTCTTCAGGTATAGGCTTATCCATGGATTATTTTGATCTATATTATGTGTGTCCGCTGGCGATGATCAACAAAGGAAAGGGTGAAGGATATTTATTATGCTTTTCTCTAACGTCTTTTGTAATGTCCAATTTTTTAATTTTGTTTTTTTTAATATCATTATTTACATAAAATAATACATATTTGATATCATCAAGTTCCAAAATGGTAAACATTCATATTTTTTTTTATAATTTTCAAAAACAAAAGAGTGTAATTGTGATGTTTTTCTTTAAAAAATAATAAAAAATATAAATTTTCATCATTTTGAGATTTCAAGATATCAAAATATTTTTTATTTTATGTAAAATCTAATGATAAAAAAAAATAAAAAAATTAAAAAGTTGAGACATGACAAGAGACATTAAAAAAAGATACATTAAATGCCCCAAGCTTCATTTTGAGCCACGTTCCTGAGTGACTGTAAATTGTGCTCTGGATGTTCGTGGGCAAAAGTTGATACATGGACGAGGTGATGGCTTTTTGGTTTGGAGTTAAACTGAAATCGATGGCCAAATGTGTTTCTTCACTGCGTATCCTTTGAGGCTTGCATTTTGAGCTTTTAAGACTTGGTCCTTACATTTTTGGCTTATGTTACCCTAGTTTGGCTTCGCACTCCAAATGTGCTTGCCGCGTAGATTTAATGTGGGCCCAGCATCTTCCAACTAATTGATGTTAACCTCCCACTTAACGCCCGGCGGGGGGGATTGAACCCCTTTTTTAATACTTTCCTCTATGATAATTTTGACACCTTTTGTGGATTAATGTTAGTTTTCTCCTCTTTTTTTGTGATTGATTGTATATAAATGTTTGTTTTACTATTATCTTAATGCTTTTAAGTAATTGGCCAGTATTTAAATATTGTGTTTATTTGAGTGATTTTTGAGAGGGTCAATTGAGTTTAAAACTTAAATAAAATAATGCAAGAACTTAAAGTTTGCACAATGAATAGATAATTTTGTTAGTAAAATAAAGATATAATTGTTAGCCTTGGATAGCCACAGTAAGTTTGGAACTTAAAATAAGATTTTGTTTAAATTAAAACTTATTCATGATTTGAGAGAGCTTCTTCAAGTATTTTGATAGCATTATATTAATACTCAATTTTATTAAAAGAATTTATGAAAAGAGATAATTTTAGTATTGACAAATACAAATAGAATAAATAATCATAAGTCCTATTTCAATCTTGAAGAGTAAGAATAATTTGTTTTCCTCATTTTCTAGTTTTAATATAATTTGCAAAATCAACTTTGTCCAACTAATAATGTGTTTTTCTCAACTTAATTGAAATTGCAAAGTCTTTGGCTTGATTGCATTTTTAATACAAATTTCCATAGGAATGATACTTTACATACATTTTATGACTTGTCATGACCCATGCACTAGTGAAATCTAAGAGAGAACAAGCATAGTGCCATATAAATTATTTGCAAATAATAAAATTGATTAAAAGGACAATCCAGAACCACCCAACTTCTCTTCCATCACTCTGGACAATTTCTCTGCCATCGAAGGTGAAAAATGATTAACCCAATCACCTACTTCACCTTTCCTAAAGAAGTCCTTCTTTTCAAACATCAAAAATTTTCCAGTCTTGTTCACTTCCAATTCCTTCATCTTCTCAAAGCTACACAGCTCAATTATGTTTTCAATAAAACCATTGCTTTCCTCCTCAAAATTGAATGGGCAATCCAGGAACTCAGCCACTCTGTTCAAGTAGAATTTGATATCTCCTTTCAAATCCTCATATTTTAAAAACATAATCTTGCTTGGTGTTTCTTTGCTTTCTCTCCAATAACCCAACATATGTATCCAAAACGGACCGCACGCATTGAAACCCTTTAAGTACCTCTCAAATGCTTCCTCGCATGATAATTTAGGTAAAGATGGTGGTGCAACTTTGTTTGCAAAACTCCAAAATGATACAAAGTTGTCAAATGGGCTTCGACATATATAGATTATCTTACATTTGCCTTTGGTAATTGAGTCGGGCAATGAATGAAATGGAACATGGGTACTAAAAAGTCTTGGTTCAGACATGCTGGAGAGATCAGGAATCTGATTGTTTATATAATGGTTGAACTCAAAGAAAGGAACAAGCTCATGTGGATTGGAAAAGAGCAAGGGATGGTTATGTTGTGAAGGAGAGAAAACCTTACGATTTACAATGGCAAAAGTGAGGGCTTTCAACCAAGTAGTGCCAGATTTTGGTAAAGAGGCTATAATAATATCACTATCTTTTGCTTGGAAATGCTTCTGGAAAGAGCTTATGGCTTGGATTTGGGCAGGTATATACCAAATATCTTGGTAGAGATAAATGTACGGGTGGCCCCAACCCTTCCTTCTTGGAAGAGAGAGTTCCTTACATTCTTCAATAAGTTGTTCATGTTCTTCATCGTAAGCCTCGTTCTCGGACTCAACAATACCTGATTGGCTTTCCGTGAATGATTCGGCAGTATTTTCGGCCATTGGAATGCTAATAAGGTTAATCTAACTGCTAAGACATAGGCATGAGAATTTAGCCCACGAGTTTGCATTATTTATAAGAAATGAATGGTTGGGAGGGAATGTTATCGGTTTCTCGAATCTTATTTTAATTTGCCGGCCTGCATTTTCTTTTTTGCTTTTAAAGATATCACTAAAAGCTGCTTACATCATAATAAAAACAGAATTTAGCTTACGTTAAATAATCCAATCTTTCCGTCTTGCATTTTGTGGTTATCTTCATTTTTAAACAATTTGTATCTTTTCAAGAGAATATTCTTAGAATATAACTTTCACTTTTGTCATTTCTACGTTAACCCCTTTCATTATTCTTTTCTTTTTCTTTTCTTTACCATTTTGCGAACATAATATTCACTCGTATTTTTGGTGTGATGAAACCTGAGCTTGAGTGAAGGAAATCGAGGAGGAATTCCTACTCTACAACGATTATTACGTAAAAAACCACCTTTGTATTAAAAAAAAAGGAAAAATAACATAAAAATATTTTTAAAATATGCAAATGACAATGAGATGCTACGAAATGTGATAATTATTTTTTAGCTCCTTAGGATTTGCTTGACATTTGTTTTGGCAAATGACATATTTGTCCCTTTAAAGAAGTTCCTTTATCCTAGCAAATCATTGACTACTTAGTTTTGGTAAATAACTACTTTTCTTGAGGAAATGTCTGGAAGGAAAAAGCGAACTAGAGATTGCTCTATGCAAATTTTATTTTATTTTTTACACTTCTGAAGTCTAACAACTAAAAATTAGTTACTACTTTATTTTGGAAATTGATTACTCTTCTTGGAGAAATGACCAGAGCGGACGAACAAGTTACAAATTGTTAGTGCAATTTTTTTTTCCAATGAAATTCAAAAAATAAAAATCAGTCTTTTGGCAAATGACTTGTTTTCCCAAGAAAATAACTAGAACAGAATAACAAATTATAAGTTGCTTTGTGCAAAAAATTTTAGTTGTTGGACATCATTAATAAAAAGTAGTAACTTGTTATTTGTTATTCTTTTCTAGCCATTATCATAAGAAAAATAGTTATTTCCCAAAATAAAGCAGTCACTGATTTACTAAGATAGAGGATCTTTTTACAGGGGCAAACATTTCATTTCACAAATAAAAAATGACAGCCAATTACCTGGGGATTAGAAAATAGTTATCACATTTTGAGGTATCTAATTGTCATTTTTACATTTTAGAGGTATTTTTCTGTCATTCTCCAAAAAGAAAAAAAGGAAAAGCCCACCTAAAATGAAATTCCATCAAAAGGCTGGAATCTAGTTTCCTCCACACATCTCTCAATTAGCCAATTCAAAACTCTTCTTGATCTTTAACATAGGGCAAAGTTGGAGTAGTTAATTTGATTTCCAATTTTACCCTCTTGTTCATTTATTGAGGCTATCATTCCGTTAATGGGAATTGGGTGTTTTTATTGATAATTGCATAAAATTGTTGGTGAACACTTTGAATTCCTTGACAGCATTTTATTACGGTTACGACATCATTTTTAACATGCGGCCGCAATTCACTTTGCAGCAAGTACAATAATGTTGCTTATAATAAGAATAGGCAACAGCTAAAAGTAATTTTTTAGCTGTCATTTTATGTAACAGATCTTATTTAACATGAGAAAACTATTGCGTAATGTAAAACTGGCAAAATTACAAAATTGGAAAGTAACATATTTTTAAACAAACTTAAAGATACTATTTCTGAACAACCATGAAGATGGTTAAGTTTGTCCAATAATTAGGACTGGAGAGAATATATCACCATTAATATTATTTTGCCTTCTTGCTAATGATAAATGAAACAGTCATAAATTATATTACTTCTGTTGGAATTTTCAGTTTGGCGAGACTCGCTAAACCTCTCTTTTATATCCTACCTAATTTAATTAATTGACAATTAATTAATAATATTTCTTCATAATTGGCTTTGAATTTAGAAATTTCAAATATATTCTGAGTTTAAATAAAATCTGGATCTCAATATAGTTATGCAATTATTCAACGAGATAGAAATTAAACAATAAAAAATAAACACTGCACAATTACATGACTTCGCATACCTAAAGTCTATTTTAATTATGATATACAAATTTTGGTTATAAAAAAAATAAGAAACAAAATACTGCGGCAAGGATGTATAGTAAAGGCCCAGAGAAGCCAAATTTCGTTCTTGATTCTCAATACACCATTGGCAATAAGCAAATTTGGGTGAGAAGCTTCCATAATGCTTTTTAACTGAAGGAGATGCAATTACGAAGCTGACAAATGTTAAAGTAGGAAAAGGGAACACAACGTTATAAAACTGAACATGGTCCAGAACTATATATTGCTAGATTAAGATATCTAACATTGAAAGGACAGCCCAGAACCATCTAATTTCTGTTCCATCACTTTGGACAATTTCTCGGTCATCCAAGAGGAAAAATGATTAACCCAATCACCTACTTCACCTTTCCTAAAGAAGTCCTTGTTTTCAACCAATGGCGTCCTTTTTCCAGTCTTGTTGACTTCCAAGTCCTTCATCTTCTGAAAGCTGCACAGCTCAATTATGTTTTCAATAACACCATCCCTTTCCTCCTCTGCATTGAATGGGCAATCCAAGAACACAGCTACTGTTTTCAAGTAGAATTTGATATCTCCTTTCAAATCCTCATACCTTAAACACAAAATCTTGTTTGGTGACAATTTGTTTTCCCACCAATAACCCAGTATGTTTGTCCAAAGTAGGCCAAACTCATTGATCCCCTTTGAGTACCTGTCAAATGCTTCCTCCCAAGATAATTTGGGTAAAGATGATGCTTTGACTTTGTTGGAAAAATGCCAAAATGACACAATTATCAAATGGGTTACGACATATACAGATTATCTTGCATTTGTATAATTTTATTTCAGCCCCAAATTACCATTTTGGTCTTTTGTAAAAAGAAACAAATAAATAAAGGAGAGCAGATTAGAAATCTGAAAAACGCATTCACGCACCGCCATTCTCTTCTCCTCCTCCTTCTGAAATTAAAGTGTTCGAAGAGCCAAGGAGATTGGTCTTCTCTCCCCTTATTTTTCCGGCATTCGTCCCGATTACTGTCGACGGCGTGGGCAATGCTGCAGCTTCTTCCATCCTAGTAGGAATCCAGCTCGTGAGTGCTTCCTCTCCCCTGTTTCATGTCACAAATCACTCAACCTCGTCAGCATCCAGCTTGTTCATCCGACGCCATCATTGTTGAAGTCGCCGTTCGTCACCACTGCCAACAGTTCCGGTGAGGTTATGAACTCTTCTTCTGTTTTCGTGTGGTGTTGCTGTCAAACTTTCCTTCCCCTGTTCTTCACTGTGCACTTCTCCTACCTCTTTTATTACTTCAAAAATGTGGGAGATGAGGATTGAATTTTCTTGAGTTAAGGCTAATTGATCAATCGAAAGAAGAAAACTTGAGAGGTTGATTTATTTAAATATTTCTGTTCAAACATTTTTGGAAATGGAAGCTGACAGGGAGTTTGGTGTTAGTTTAAGAATTCATGGTCATGATGTGTTTGATGAAATGTTTATTAGAATAGTTTTGCTTGATCATGTAAATTTTTTTAAATTATAGTAATTGTGACAAGAAGCATAGTAAATTTAAATGATGGTTATTGGGAAATATTTCAGTTAAGTGAATGATATCCAATTAATTTACTTATTACAATCTTTTACTGAAATATTTATTTTCAAGTAGATCATTTTTTTAATTACTATGATAGTTGGGTATTTTGTCAATGAAATTATTTTATCGTGAGAAGACACAACCAATTGCAAAGGATAACTAAGATGTGGTATGTACACGAATTTTATTCATGAGTTGTATTTTCAAGATTTATGATATTATTTTTATTTACGTTGAATATTTTTTATATTTAATAAATGCTATAATGTACATTATTTATGAAATTTTATTTTTGATGGATATTGAGTTGAGGTTTGAAATGATTCATGCAAGCCCGATATTGAAAATACAAATTGTATTTCATAAATGACTATTCTTCTCGCAAGTTTGAAAAGTGATTTTTAAAGGACTTTAAGTATAACACTATTGCTAACGGTAATTCTATTAGCCCTTGACGTGCCATGGTCAATGACTAGCTAGTTTAATTTTTGTGAGCTCTATTCTCACATCTGTTATTCGTAAGCCTTGTACTTGCGTCTGTTTCATGGCATCAACCACATCTGATTAGTTACCCTCGTGGACTGTGTGTCCACGTCTATTTCGTGGCTTTGTCCACATCTGGTTATTTACTTTAGTGGACTGTGTGTCCATGTCTGTTTCATGGCATAAGCCGCGTCTAGTTATTTATCTTTGTGGACTATGTGTCCACGTTTGTTACTTATTCTATTAGGTCCTCAAAATTCTAAATTTTTAATTACCTTAGGTATTTGAATTTTCAATGCTTTCAGTTAATAAGTGTATTACTTTGATTCACATATGGATAATTGGTTTTCTTTAACCAAGATAGAATAAAGCAACTTTAGTTCACTCTCATTTTATGGTTATGATTAAAAATTACAAATTTATTAAGTTTACTATATTGAATTATCATTTTTTTAATTATTTTGCATAGTTGTTTGAGTTTAGTATTTTACTTTTTAAAATTTTATTTTTGGGATGCTATTTACTGAAAAATATTTTGGCCTAAGATAATAGCTGGACCCATATCATCTGTTGATCATTAGGAGCTTTATTGCTGAACTAAAGTAGAAGAATTTCTTTGATCAAATATTAATTTGATCTAAATGTGAGCTTAAGTATTATTTTGTAGTCTACTTCAAGTTCTCTTTATTGATTATAAATAAAATTTTGATCTATTGTAGGCGTTGATTGTTTGTTGCTAAGGAGCTGAGCTCCTTGTTGTTGAATTGTTATAAATTTGTTGTTGTAGAAATATTTGAGAGTTTTTTTTTGTAGAACTTTTAAAAGAGTATATGATTCGTTCTGTGTAGTGAAAAGCATGGTAAAAATTTCTAATCTTATTATTAATGAGTTTAAAGTATTAAATTGTAAGTTTCTTGAATTAAGGGTTTTAATTATTATTAATAGGATATGGGTTTTAACTTTTATACGCACATCCTGTGCCGGTCACCTTTTATTTTTGGATTGTGACACATCTTGGAGTTCATTGTCTATATAGCACTCAATGCAATAAATCACTACTAACTAAGTTAACAAAGTAAACCAATAGCCTTATAAACAAAGTATCAATCGCTGGTAAAAAGAAATATTACTAATAATTGACTAGAACAACAATTAAGGGCTATTAACAGGCTGGTAACAATATATTAATTATAAGAAAATAGATTGAAATAAATATAAGTACCATTTATGGCCAAGAGAAAAAAAGTTATTCACATTTAAAAAATCCTAAACACAAAATATGAAAAATGATATCTAGCAAAGGCACATTAAGACTGAAGATTAACATGAGAAATGTGTTATGGTAAATGGCTTATTGGATCTATGTCATAATCTAAACTTCTTGGTTGACTGGATCCTGAAAAGTTGAAATATTAGACTTAGTAGTGCGTCTAGCATTTAACATGGAAGTAAAGTAAGGGTGATTATGGTGCTTGCACGTCCTTATCTAGCTCCAAAAAAATAGCAAAACGGACCACGCTAAATAGACATATGAAGAAAGAGGAGAAACAAAACTAAGATCTAAAGTTAAAGAAAGTGGAGACACCAAAGAGTAAAGAGATTAACTAATACTAAAACTTTGTTGCCCTGTTCTAGTAAAGATAGTTGTACATGTCATCTCAGGAGTTCAACTTTAAAATAAAATAAGTTATTTTGTTGAAGCCAAAAATTTGACAAGCAAATTATCTATTGGCACAGTGGTGAGTCCCCACATGAACTTAATGCAGAGTATGATCATATCAGAAAATACAATTAACGAAACTGATCAAGATCTTGTTAACAACAGAAGGCCATCCTCTTAGATTCTCAGTCATTACCAAGAGGCCTATAATGCCTTGGAACTTCTCGTGCTACAATACACAAAGGTGCTAGGTTAATTAAATCACTAAAGGCAAAAATAAATCCAATTAAAAAGGAAAAGAAAGTGATGAGATCAGTAGAGGAACAAGTATCAGGTTCATAAGCAAGATATAGCCATGAATTGAGATTATTTTTGGGCCACAGAAATTAACAACCCAAATAACTAAAGAAGTTTCAAAAGATGACAACCAAGTTAATAATATAGATTGTGTAACTGATATATTGAATCTAGCTATCACCTGAAATCGGCATTCCCAATAATGATTAATATCATTAAATGAAAATTTCAAATGAGAACCTAGAGAATGAGAGACATCAATGGGCTTACCTGAGTTGTGACATTGAGAACAAACCTTAGGGAGAATCAAATCGAGTAGCAGCAAGAGGAAAACGGTGTGACGATGAGAACAACCTTCAGGGAGAATTAAATCAAGTAGCGGCGGAAAGCAAATAGAGCGACGACAAGAATGGACCTTGGGGAGTATTAGATCAAGCATTTGAGCAGCAACAAGAGGAGAGTCAAGAGAGGAAAGGCTAACTGGGTGAGTCGAGAGAGTAAATTGGAAGGAATGGTTAGGGTTTTTGCCCTTAACTACACCAGTTACACTTAATAATTGGTGGATATATTAAAAATAATTTTTTAAAAAAATTAAAATATATAATTACACCAGTTATAAGTAATAACTAGTGTAGATATGTTAAAAATTAATTTTCAAAAAAAATTAGAATATATTATATACATCGATCATGTGTTATAAATGATGTAAATATTAATATCTACACTAGTTAAGAAAGGAACCGGTGTAGATATCATCACAATCACTTATTTATTTACAAAAATGCCATCGCCTCCTATTTTTATACCGTTTGTGCATGAACCGAATAAATATGGGCATGTAAAAAGGCTATTTTGTACTAGTGAGATTTTCAACTTAAAGCATCAGCCACTACATTTACCTTGCCAGGGTGATACTGAATTGTGCAATTGTAATCTTTAAGCAATTCCATCCATCTCCTTTGCCTAAGATGAAGATCTTTTTGCTTGAAAATGTATTTAAAACTCTTAAGATCTTTGAAAATTTCACATGTCCTACCATACAAATAATGTTACTAGATCTTCAAAAGAAAAATGATTGCTATCATTTCTAAGTCATGAGTTGGGCAATTTTTGTTTATGTATTTTAAGTTTCTTAGAAACATAAGCAATCACTTTTTCACATTGTATTAGGACACAACTAAGACCAACCTGAGAAACATCATAACAAATTGCATATCCCCTAGTCCCTGATGGTAGGCTTAGGATTGGCACAAAAGTTAAATAGTCTTTCAGCTTCTAAAAGCTTACCTTACACTCATTACTCTAATCAAATTTCACATTTTTCTGAGTCAGTTTAGTTAATGATGCAGCTATGCTTGAAAAGTCTTTTAAAAAATAACAATAATAACTAGTCAAGCTTAGGAAATTCAGGATCTCTATAACTGTAGTAGGTTGTGGCCAATTCTAAATTGCTTTAACTTTATATGGATCTACCTATTTATTGTCTTTAGACACAATGTTACCTGAGAAGATAACTTGATCAAGTCAAAAATTACATTTGGAAAAACTTGGCATAAAGTTGTTGCTCTCTCAATGCCTAGAATACTAACAGCAAGTATTCTTCATGCTCCTCCAAACTCTTTGAGCCCATCAAAATATCACCAATGAAAACAATTACAAAAATTTCTTGGAATGGTCAAAATACTTGATTCATCAAGTCCATGAATATAACTGGAGCATTTGTCAACTCAAATGACATTACTAAATATTCATAAAGACCATACCAAGTTCTAGATGTTGTTTGTTTGTTTTTATATACCTTTCTTTCTTAATTTTCAACTGAAGATAACATGAACATAAGTCAATCTTCAAAAAATATTGAGCTCTTGTCAACTGATCAAAGAGATCATCAATGTGATGCATCAATTACTTATTATTTATAGTTACCTTATTAAGCTACAGATAATCTATAGAGTCTCAATGACCTATTCTTCCTATTCACAAAGAGAATGAGTGCTTCTTAAGGAGAAATGCTAAGTGAATAAATCCTTCATCCATTAG